TTTAATCTGTTCACTGTCTTTTACAGTTTACATCTTTATTGAGTTTAAATAGCGTAAAATGAGTTTGTTGTTACTCTGACATGGATTCGGTAGGATTGAAAGTGTATTAGCTACAAATTGCCGTAACAGTTTGATGTATAGGTTCGGTCTACACAGTAAAACGTTGCTGAGTTTCTTTTTGTAGCCTATCTCATATTCATCATTTACTTTTAATACTACATAATTTTTAATCGGAAACTATCCAGGAAAATATAAAAATTTAAGAATTAAATAACATATACAGTATGTTCCCGGATTGAGTTTACAAGAAGAAAAAAATCTTTATCTTTGATTTTACGCCAAAACTGCAAAGGTACAACAAAAGGAAAACCGTAAAATCTAGTGAAACGAAGTTATGACTATATTATTAAAATGTTGTTATAAAAATAAACATTTTATTGGTGTCACTTCTAAAGTAAACGTCTACAGGTAAAAACCTAAACTGCAAGGTAAAGCGTGAGGATTCAAGTCAGACTTGATAATTTTTTAGTATACAGGGTGCTGCATTTTGGATGTCCAAATAGGGAATCTCCGAAACTAAAAGGTTTAGCTAAAAACGAGTAATACATTCTGGGGCTCATTTTTTGAGAAAATAATATTGGTTAAAACCGCATCCCGCTATCGTCTTTTGTTTTCGACTTATAGTCAAAAATTGACATTTTAGCAAAATCTAAAAAAATTCATATCTTCGTTAGAAGACACAGATTTGAAATAAGGACATTATACAGGCACTTTTTTACGTAGAATTTAATAATGTAGTTAACATTTTCTTTCAGTTGTTTGTTTAGCCGTAATTTTTTAAATGGGAATCATAGATGGCTATGTCATTTTTAAAAAGCCTTTTTTTTCTTATCTAAAAAATATATATTTGTAACAAATTATTATAATACATTTTTAACAAAAAAAAAAAATCTTTGATTTTTGTTCGCAGTTGGTCATGAAAAAGCGTTGCATCTTCAACTAAACGGATTTAAACTGTATTATTCAACCAGTGTCACTAATGAAAGAGTTTTCTAAGTACATACTAAGTAATGAAAAAAATGCAAAATAAATCGTAAATCAACTTATTGGCGACTAATAACATTTCTTTGTTTTTAAACAAGCTAACATTACCATTGTAACTTCTAGTGATACATAGAGTGTTGTAAAAAAAGCCGCTTTAATTCTTCAATAAAATATATTTTATATGACACAAAAATGACGATATATTCAAATACCCAAATTCCGTCTATGTGGGACGTTATCCTACCTCCATTAGATCATCAAAAAAATGTTTTTTCTAATTGTGTTGACTGTTGACACATTTGTTTTTCCTATTTTTAGACTTTTTAAAAATATGTAATAATTTTGTTCTGAAGCGCTCGCCTATTTATTCAATGTTTCTACCGTAGCGTATTTTTTTAATTTTTATAATTTTATCATTTTTTCATCTATTTTACAGATCATAAAACTCTTATTGATTATTATTTACACATTTGGAGTGAAATAGTTTTCCATGGCCAACTATTATCAAATAAAATATGTATTTCATTTTTTAAATATAGTTATAAAAAAATATTCTGTTACAAATTTATATTTTTTAGATCAGAAAAAAAAAAACCTTTCGAAATTGCCATAGCCGCCTATGATTTCTATTTAAAAAAATACAAGTTTATCTTATTACGGCTAAACTAATAACTGAAAAAAATTGTTAACTGCATTATTAAATTCCTCGTAAAAAAGTGCCTGTATAATGTCTTTATTTCAAATCCGTATCTTCTATAACAACGACGATATGAATTTTTTTAGATTATGCCAAAATGTCAACTTTTGTCTGTAAGTCGAAAACAAAAGACGATAGCGGGATGCGGTTTTAACCAATATTATTTTCTCAAAAAATGAGCCCCAGCCACTCCTTTTTAGCTAAACCTCTTAGTTTCGGAGATTCCCTATTCGGACATCCAAAATGCAGCACCCTGTACAGTATGGTCCCGGATTGCGTTTATAAGAGGAATTTTTTTTATCTTTGACTTTACGCCAAAACTGCAAAGGAAAAACATTTTTTGTTTCATCTGAAACGAGCAAATCTGTAATTAAAACTTCATTATTCTGATTCTGTGAAAAGGAAAGTTAATTTGTCTCTTGATTTTTGACTCAAAACAATTTTTCTCTGCTTTTTAAGTCGTATCACATTGGCGGTTTTATATATTATTTTGACAATGATGTCACTTTGACAAATGAGCTGACGCAAGTTAAATTACAAAAATGTTTGTGACAAACATAATTTTAATATACAGGGGGTTCCGTTTTTATTGTTACAAATTTAACAATCCCTTGAAAGAGATGCCTTTATGTAATGGGGTTTTCCACTATTGCAGAATAGATAAAATTACAAAATTTGGTACAGCTGATAACACCTGAACAAATTCAAAAATCAGTTGTCAAAATTTTTAATGACGGGTGTCTTAAACGGTGTTAATTTTTAATTTTTATCCTCTTTATGGTCTGTAAGACAAATTGTAAACTGATTTTACTTAAAAACGGTAAGTTGTATCGAAAAAACTCAAGAAACCTCTTTTTTGTAAAAAACTATGAAATTTAGAATTTTGTGGCAGAAAGTGGCACGAACCAATAGCCAAATGAGTTGGGTACTTTTACCCTAAACCCCCCCCCCCCAGTTTAGGACGCCCCTGAGTAAAAATTTTGACATTTTATCTTTCAATTCTTTTGGGTGTATAAAGGTTATCAGTTGTACCAAATTCTGAAATTTTATCTACAATGGTTGCTGAAATATTTCAAGAAATCCATTAAAAGATGCACGCGTTTCAGGGCATGTAGCTCCCTTATTTAATATTTTTCGATACATGTTTATAGGAAAATTTTATCTTAAAATTGAATATCCTATCACCTGCTTAAATTTGTAACAATAAAAACGGAGAAGCAACTCAAAAATCAGTTTTAAGATAAAAAAACAAAAAAAAACAAAGTCATTTTTAACAAGAACTATCTTTATTTAATTAATAAATTAATTGTCAAAGTGACATATTGTTGTCAAATAAACAAAACCGCCATTGTGATGGGACTTAAAAAGCAGAGAAAAATTATTGTAAGTCAAAAATCAAGAGAAAAATTAACTTTCCTTTACACAGAATCAGAATAATGAAGTTTTAATTACAGATTTGCTCGTTTCAGATGAAACAAAAAATGTTTTTCCTTTGCAGTTTTGGCGTAAAATCAAAGATAAAAAAAATTTCCTCTTATAAACGCAATCCGGGAACATACTGTATACTAAAAAATTATCAAGTCTGACTTGAATCCTCACGCTTTACCTTGCAATTTAGATTTTTACCTATAGACGTTTACTTTAGAAGTGACACCAATAAAATGTTTATTTTTACAACAACATTTTTATAATATAGTCATAACTTCGTTTCACTTGATTTTACGGTTTTCCTTTTGTTGTACTATCATAAATCCACCCAATGAAATTGTTGTGGCGTGAAATACAATAAGATTGCATTTGAAAAGTTACATAAAATTTATTATTATGGCCAGGAATCATCACTAAAATAACTCACCGACGCTTTTTTTTAAATTTAAAGTCACACTCAAACTTTGATATTTAATGTAACATTAACCAGGATTTTACACGAAATTACCAAAGCTCCTGAAATTAGACATTAATTGCTTTGGCTCAGATACCTTGAAAGTAAGTAGTTAGGTGTCTCTACGGCGCCGTAAAGACACTGACAGCGATGCCATCTTTCCTCTACGTCTCCTCGACATGTAAACTTTGCAAACCTTTGCAAACTTGTGTTCTCCATTATAAGCGCTCATATGGGGGATATTACGGCACTGTTGTCTTCCGCACTGCACGATGTGTAACTTACCCAACTCTGCTTTTTGCAGTTACGTGGCAATTCTAATTGATAAATGCTCCTAACGACTTACTTATGTAGTCTCTTGAGGTGAGCCGCGTTAACGTACATCGTCACAATTTACTTAACTCATTATCTTCCGCACTTAAACGACTGCCAAGTGACTTACTCTAATTATTATTTATTTTATCATATTAGCAGCAATAAAACGATTCATTAACCGCACTGATTGGACACGCGTTTTTCACAATGTTTTCAGTGATTGGCGGTGATTGAAACTTTAAAAATGACATCCGCTTACTGTTTTGAATAAATTATTGCATTCTGATGAAATTCGTAGCTAAAGATCAAAGCGAAACGCACACAGCCGTGCAACAATTATTTTTAATGATATCGTTTGTTTTAGGCGTGCCATATATTTAAGCTAAGTTTGTTGAAATTTAAAACAAAGCCGCACATAACCATGCAGAAACGTGAAGGCAACAATAATTTAGGAAACGATTTAAAAATACAGTGATTTGTTTTAAATTCAACTATTTTGAAATAGAACAGTTTTTGCCTAAATAGTAATTGGCATTTTGGATTATTTATTTAGGGTTGTTAAATGTTAGTAATCAACTTCCAAATTTTAAGCAAATTGACCATTTTAATTAACAGAAATGAATGCCATAGCCTGAAAAACCGACCTGCACTAAAATATTGCCAATCAACATAAATGTGTCTGCTTTGATATTTTAAATATTCCCAGGATTTAAATTGATGACAGTATATTTAAAATTTGAATAAAATATAGTAGCCAATATAGTGAACGGATGCTGGTATATGTATAGGTATGCAACAATTTAACCCAACGATCAAAAATAGCGATTAAATCTTTCACATCTTGTAAAATGATTACCAACTTAAGAGCCAAAAATGTAAATTAAAAATAAAAAATGGCTGGTCAAAAACCGGTGGTTTATGGCTACTGTCACCTAGATAAATTAATTTCAACTTCTGGTCTCCTAGTTGGTTTTTTTACCTTGCAATAAATTTGATCTATCAACTTCATTAACACCTAACAGTTGTAATATAAACTACTATTTTAACGATTTTTTTTTGCAGATAAGGACAACCAAAAGCCAACAGAGAAAAAGGTAAGCATCATTCTCAGATAATAAGAAACCGAAAGAACAATCGGTCGATTTTGCGTGCAAAGTCCACGTCTATTAGTGAAGGTTCAGTCGAGATTTAAATTGAGCCTGGAACAAATTAACCAGCCAATAAAGTCGAAGTAAAATACGAAGACACCGGTCTGATTCATTTCCTCCCAAAGGACGTTAAAAACACGCGGTATCCACTAAATATGCACAAAGTAATTACAATTTAAGATGTACTTCCGAATTGGAATAACTCTGTGTAAACTTTACACAAAGTTCAGTTCTAAATCAAGTAAGTAGGCGAATCCGCTTCTACTTATTTCAGCTGTTGAGTCCTCGGGGACACATTGCCTTTGTTAGACTGACAAAACCACTGAATTATTTGATAAGAAAACTAATGATTCGTTTTTAACGTTATAATAAACAGCTTGTCCCATCAACACAAAAACGAAATGAGGTTTTCAATGATGTGCCCTATTTGCGAACAGGCGAGGTTGTCAAAGACACTCGAAAAGTTTCGATGACGACATGAATTGGTCAAAATAAACTCGAGGTATAAAAGAAGAAAATTTTTCTTATTTAACATTTGTTGATAAAATTTTAATATCCCTCGCAATTGGTTTTTGATGGCAGTCTTCAGAGATGTTGTGGGGCAAGTATGTAGTGCAAAATTGCACTTTATGTTATTGGATATTGATAGTTACGTTTAAACCGATAAACGTTATATCCAAGAGAGCCATTTCTTTTATAAACTAGTTGATTTCTGGAAAATACTTTTGGTCGTAAAATAGAATAACAAACAGACCTCGTTTTATCTTAGTTCTATAGTTTGATGCACCCCATACTCAACGTTTTAGAGGTTAATAAAACTTCAACCCGTTTCCTTTTAGGCCAGAACTTCATCATTTACGTTCTAACTCTGCTAGTTTATCAAAAGTTAAAACTTTCAGTCCCTCAGAACACATAAAATACTTACACACGTGTTACAAGGGATATAAATAATAATTATTTTAATTAGAAAGTTCACCGTGTGCACTGCTAGAATTACAACTTTTTTTAAGAAAAAAATTAATTGCATGAACTTATCACGTCTGCTGGTTCGGGATATATTATACCCTAAATGTAATTTAGAGCGAGTTGGCTTAACTTTGTTTTTAGTTGGAAGTTTTGTACATTATAACATTTTGTATCTTCATGTCTCGCTAATAAGCAAAAACTAAAGTTGAAATGTTCACATAGTTCTAATCAAATATATTTTTGAAAGTGAAGAACGATTTCTTTAATTTTTTTTATTAGAAAAAATATAAAAATATTAATTTAGAAAATAATATACAGGTGTCCGAAAATTCGCACACTTTCTTAAAAGGGAGTAATTGGTTAGTCCCCCAGAGTACTGAAAAAAATTCTATTTGTCAAAATATTTTGACATATATTTTCGACATATTCGTAGGTCTATTTAATGATACTGATGATCTTGTATATGTTTTTTTTTATAATTATTTAGTAAAGGTACAAAAATTTTGCCAATAAAAGCCACAAATAACACTAAACAGAGTTACAATTTAGGATACAGCTTCCTTGTTTCCTCCTCTAACAGTCTGTAGCAAAAAAACTTAAAAAATATTTTTTCAACATAAAAGAATAAAGCCAATTTAAACTCTCATAACTTAGAAATTTTTATACAGGCAGAGTCACTTATAATAAAGACCCTGACCGATTTTTAGACGCAACCCAAAATACATTCTCACAGTCAACTTTGCTTTTTGTGTGTTTGAAAAATTGTGCTTATTAAATTCAAAACAAAGTAATTTTTGATATTTCATTAGTTAAATTTGACAGTGTCAAAAATTCCACTTTCTTTTTCCCTTGAATTCAAAATGTACTCAAACGACAAAGAAACTGACATGATCTTGATAAATAGAAAATGCCACAAAATGTTGGGGCTGAATCTGTATCGTCAAAAGTACACAGTACATTAATTAACGCATCGTGGTATCTGAGAATGTATTTTGGGATGCGTCTGAAAATCAGTTAGTGTCTTTATCATACAGGTGTCCCACGAGTAATAATGAGCCTGAAAAATTTTTTGAAGCAACCAACATTACATTTCAAAGATAACGTGGATATTAAAATATTTAGTTTTAATAAATTAAACATAGTCACCAAACAACACTTCAACTTGGAGAATTTGATGAGAATTATTAAAATATTGCCGAAAAGACCAATAACATTCTCATTTATGAAGAATGTTTGAAAAACTCTTCGCAAACTGCAGACGGACTTCCTAAAACTGGAGTAAAGTCATTTTGACTGATAGAAATTTGTCAAAAATAAAAATACGATTACTATGTTTAATATCCACGTTATCTATGAAATGTAGTGTTGGTTGCTTCAATAAATTTTTCAGGCTCATTATTACTCGTGGGACACCTGTATATGACTCACCCTGTAGAAATAAAAGAATCTGCTAGTTTAGATTTTCAAAAATTGGAGAATAATAAAGTAATAAAAATTACTTCGGCGACAAATCGCCAGCTATGATTACCGCGACCAAATTGGCTCTAGTATATAATGTTTAATGCACATATTCACAAATGCATACCCTCACGCACATACTAAAATAGAAACGGATTGGCGTTGACAAATGTAACCGCAACTACCCTCATATTTCCTTCTATTTCAACCATGCCGCAAAATGTGCACGGTTTACTAATAAATCAAACACAATTTTGCCAAATCCATGATCTAGTGAACACCAGCACGTTTTCACGGGAATATGAGACAGCGAGTTTCTAGCGTGTAATTAGTTTAATTGATTTTTGGGCTCGCAGTAAGTATTCGAACAGGAGCTCACGTAAACTCGTAGGCTGAATCCAATATTTTCTTAGGCTGTTGTACCAAACAAACGAACGCGCAATAGTCATTATAACAAATATAATTAGCAAAATTAATTAGGAAGGACTGAAGCTCCTTCACAACGAAGACAATGACTGTAAATTTTTACGAGGAAATAGCTGGAAAAGAGCTGAAACTAAAAGATTAATCAGTAATTTACAAATTACAATTACAAATAGTTTTTATGACTTGAAATTTAGATATTATATATATTAAATTGAAACGTATAAGTAACTTAATGTTGAAACCATCAAACCAAAAAAAAAATTACAAACGTAAACTTCATTATGTTCATTAGTCTGTTTCTTTGCCAATAAAACATAATGAGAATTTCTCCCTCATATTTTGATTACATAGTGCTTTGAATAAAACTGCCGAAGAACACAGAACACAGAACACAGATGATTACAGAATATAAAAAGACTTTGTATTACAGATATTTCAAAAGTTAGCTAAACGTCGAAACTGTTTTTTATAGCTTTTTGAACTTTATTTTAACTGTTCCATACTATTTTTACAAAATTTGTAAACTGAAAAGGTTTAAAAACTATTTTGTTTCATAATTGCCAGACTTTGTTAACTATGTGGTGTGTGGTAAATATATAATTACATTTCCGACAAAATAATCATCGTTAAAACTTTATACAAAGCTTTGATCATTATCTTTTCCGCTACAAGTTATTAACATTATGCTGTTTGTTTTTTTGTCATAATCCAAAAAGGGATTTATTTATTACCATGACGGACGTAAAAGATGGGAAGAGGAAGGTTGGCTTCTGCCAGGCATTTTAATTAAAATTGCGGCATTGCGACTGCTGTATTTTTAATTTTTTTTATAGAATTTTTATTAAATATCTAGGCATTAAAGTTAGCAAGTTAAAGAGGAAATAATCCTATTTATCACCAACTGCACCTTCGGAACGACAATAAAAGCGTATAGATAAAAGATACTTGCAAAGCTTTTTCTCTAATTTTATTTCTTTATTATCGTCGAGTCTTATCGCCCATAATTTTTATTAATTTCGTTTATTTTTATTTTTATTAATCACTTAGGAGTGATTTATAAAAATGAACTGTAATGACCGCCGGGAAAAAGTCATATAATTTATCACGTCCGAGTGAAATCTTCAAACTTATTTGAATAACGACCTCCTAGAATTTATTTAAGACAATTACTCGTATTTCCAACAATTTATAAAATGCAGCTGTTCTAAATGCAAAAAATCCAAATGCAAATTTGCCTTGTGAAACTCGCAGGAATAATAATTGTAAGTTCTATTGTTTTAAGGTAATTCCTTTGAGGCGACACCGCCTACTCTCCTTTAAATTTAAAGAGTGGAAATGAACTGAAATAAATTTCTCTCTTTGCACGCCTTTCCATGTTCTGAGCTTTTGTTTAAAGCAATTAATCTTTTTATGAGACTCCACTTAATGTATATATTTTAATTTTGAAAATGACATGACTCCAATATTTTTCCTCATAGAATGTTTACGTGATGTTCTTCGAAAATGGTAATTCACCATTTTGTCTGCTACTATTTTTACTAACCAAATTAAAACCGCTCGCTGTATCGATAGTTCGGTTGGGTTAAATTTTGTTTATTCACACAAAGCAGATCGTAGGTTATAATCCGTTTTTGAATGAAAAATGTTTTTAGCTTAAAATAAAATTTTATATAAATAGAATTTGTCTCTCATGTACATGTTCGTAATTTTTTTATGAAATAGAAAAACATCGACCATCCCCTATCCAATACTTAAAAAATTACAGGTTTTTTTAAATTGATTTTTTCGTTTATTTTTAAACAAAGCGATATTTCAGCGGCGCGGCTATTGTTTTCTTCTTGCAAAGCTTTATTCCAAAAGCAAAGGACTGACAAGTCTGAGACAAAAGATTATAAAAATCTTAAAAAGAATACAATCATTGTTAAAGCAAAATAGAATAGAAAATATAATGACAGCTTATTTGGTTTAAGCGCATTGTTAAATCGATAGGTCGTTAACGCTCACGCTATAGTGTTAGTTGTTAATGGGACCATGATTGACAACTAATTTTTTTTTCAAACTCTACCTGCAACGTAGAAGAACGTCATCCGAATCCA